CCCAGTGGGCAAAACAGACATGCTCCTGCCCTCAAGGAGATCATAGCCCATCGGCAAGAGAAACTCATACAAAACAGGTTCATGAGAAATATTTTTAGTAATAGTTTAAAAATGACAATATGCCTTAAGAGGTATAATAGAAGTTAAAATAATCTGGGGTTGGGGACAGGCATGGAAGACTTCTCAGAAGAAAGCACATTAGAGATGTAAAAGGCACTTAGTGTTATCTGGACGAATGCTGAGCATGGTATATATGGGGTGAGGACAGGACAATCTAAGCAGGAAGGATAGCACATACAAATGTCCTGGGGCAGACAGGCAATTGGTACATTTCTGGAATTGAAATAAATCCAGGGTGACTGGAAAGCAAGAAAAATATACCCATGAGAATATTCATGGTGCTGACTCAGAATCAAACACTTAGAGTTACAGGTCAATGGGGTGTCCTCCAGAACATTCAACTAAGCTCATTATAAAGATGCTTACTTGAACCTTATCAAAAAATCCAAAGATATTTGGAAAAATTATAGGTAGAAAATGATAAATTTAAGAGAAATATCTACAATGAGTTAGACAGTATTGGACAGTATTATTTAGGAGAAGATAATGGGGTCAAGTCTCCTTCCTCCAAACTGCACATGTTGTTCCAGCAAACAAACACGCCCTCTCCAATTTCTGCTCTGGCTGAACCTGGTTACCTGAGAATTCTCCTCAAATGGATTTGACGTAACCAACTTCAAGAGTAATTTGGGGCAAGATGATGGTGCGGGGTATGTTCCTTAGGGAATGGAGGAAAATACTGATATTTCAAAATGTAGGGTTGAAATGAAATGTCTCAGAGGGCAGACACGTCTCCACCACTGACATTAACATGTAAATACACTACCTATAAATGTTCGTGCATTGACGTTGCCTCATCTACCCTAAATATTGGTCTGGTTGCTATACTGCACCTGGATGTTCTCCAGAATGTAGATGATGGGAGTTGAGAAGTTATCTTTCCTTTCTCCAGTGAGGATTCCCCCAACAACTCGGGAGTTCATCTTCAGCTTCCTCTGGGAGTTGCCCAAGAGGGTCTGGAGGTCTTGGAAGAAATGCTCATCTAAAGCAGACTCCATGTTTACAAAAGAGACAAAAGCCACTCCAGAGGTCCCTGCAGATTTCCCCCAGTGGAGAAAAAGAAGGAATCGTGGGGTTAAAAGTAGGTGTAGATGAGCCAACACTCACACATGTGCACACAAAGACACACTTTAGCATCCCACCAACCTCACTGGAGAATGGTGACCCACCCCAGAAAGAAAAAAATCCCAATATGCTATTACCAAGAGATATCTTGGTTTCATTTAAAACTAAAGTTGAATTTGTGAACCAGGCATGGTGATATGCACCTGTGGTCCCAGCCATTAGGGAGACTGAGGCGGGAGGATGACTTGAGCCCAGGGATTTGAGGATGCTGTGAGCTATGATGTCACTTTTGCACCCTAGCCTGAGCATGAGAGTGAGACTTTATCTCAAAAAATGAAACAAAAACAAAAATGATAAAAGCAGCCAAACACCTCTCTCCTGCACCACTGGCTCCCCACACATCCTCATCTGCCCTCAGCCTCATCCCTCCAAAAAAAGGTCTACATTGCAGTCAGAAGGCTCCTTTATAAACAGACTTCTATCTGGAAAACATAATCAGATCATCTTCTGACATAATCAGAACCTCCCAAACTTTCTGTGCCCTCAGGAGAAAGCCCAAACATTACCACTTAACAGCTTGGATTTCAATGGCCTCTATTATCTTCCCCTCTCTCCCACATTCATGGCGTTCCAGCCTCACACTACTCTCTCCTAATTCTATGAACACTCCAAGCTTTTTCTCAAGGCAGAGCTGTAGCTCATCCTGCCTGGAACACTCTCTCCTGCTTTCTCTTATTCCTCAGAATTTAGCTACATATTTCTTCCACATTGCACCCTGTCCTTTCATACTGAAGCATTGAGCACAGTGTTAATCATGTACATAGAACAGAGAGTGTCAAATTCTGGGCTAACCTGGCCATCCCCTGCTTTTTGTAAATAAAGTTTTATTGCAATATGCCCATGCCTGTTCATATAGACAGTGTCTATGAATGCTTTTGCACTGGAATGGTGGAGTTAGAGGTTGTGACAGAGACTGTACTGATTACAACACCTAAAATATTTATTAACAAGTCCACTGCAGAAAAAGTTTGCTAACCCCTGATACAGATTAGTTCTGTCCAATAGAAATATATTAGAAGCCACACATGTAATTTTAACCTGCTTTAAATAGCAGGTTATATTAATTTTGTTAATGCATTAATATAAGTAGGATATTATAATTTCAACATGCAAATTTGATATTTTAAATATAAAAATACATTTTAAAGATTATTTTTGTTTTTGTTTTTTTGTTTGTTTGTTTTGCAGTTTTTGGCCAGGACTGGGTTTGAAACCACCACCTCTGGCATATGGGGCTGGTGCCCTACTCCTTTGAGCCAGAGGCACCACCCCATTTTAAAGATCTTTTAAACATGTATTTTGCTTTTAAAGTATTTTTCATTTTCAACATAAAAAAATGACTAGTGAGGGAACAGACCCTTTCTGCCTCAACATCATTGATTCCCAACCACCTGCACTGGTCCTGGCATCTGGAAGGTTATCAGTAAATATTTGCTGGTGGAAGGCACCCTCAGCTGGATTCCAGGAAGTGGGTCTGTACCTGTGGATCCCGATTCTGCGATTGTGGAACACCCAATTTTCATTTCATCCCCCTTGGCTTTCAGGTTAAAGACTATATTCTCTTCAGTACATTCATCATTGATAACTTTGCTCTCGATATCTAAATAAAGAAAGGGAGAGTTTGTATGGGGTCACCTGGAAAGTGGGTCCTGAGTCTGGCTTCCATCTAAGAAAGGCACACATACATAGCTGCAAGTGAAGCAGAACAGAAGGGACTCACACCTTAGGGTGCATCAGGGAAAGATGAGATGGAAGTCAAAAGTGGTGGAGAGCAGCAGAGCCATCATTTTCTGGATACTCCAAATTTAAATCCTTTTCCAAGGACACATGAAGGGGTTGGGGCAAATGTAATGTGGCAGACAGTGGCTCAAGTTGTGCACTCACATGGCCATAACAAGGAGACCAAGCTCTGCCACTCACCAGCTGTGCAACTCTGAGCAATGATTTAACCTCTCTGAGTCTCCCATCTCTCATCTGTAAGATGGTGATAACTGCAGGACCTGTCCTACTGACTCTTCATGAAAATAAAGTAGATAATGGAACCAAAAGTATCTTCTCACAACATTAATCAAATAATGCCATGCCTGTCCCTAAAGTCTCCAACACACCCCAATCTTTCTTCAAATAAAACCTCATTTGTGGCTCGTGTGGTGGCTTATGCCTGGAATTCTAGCATTCTTGGATGCTGAGGCAGAAGGATCACTTAAGGTCAGGAGTTTATGACCAAATTTAGCATGAGTGAGACTGTGTCTGTACAAAAAAATAGAAAAATGAGCTGGATGTAATGGTAGACACCTGTAGTCTCAGTTACTTGAGTGGCTGAGGCAGAGGAATGCTCGAGCCCAGGTGTTTGAGGACCAGTGAGCTTTTATGACACCACTGCACTCCAGTCACAGTGAAGGAGTGAGACTCTTTCTAGAAAAAAAAAATTATAAGGCCAGTTGTGTTCACTACTGGTCAGATTCCACCAAATACTCTATTTCTGCCTCTTAGACTTTTGGACATCGCTTAGGATGGAATTTCCAAGGTATATGTGACTGGTACAAGAACTACTACCAGCAGTGGGTGTTAGCATAAAAGCTCCATAGCACCCAGTATTCCCTCATGGCCCCCATCAAGCATGTATCAGTCAGGAAAGGATTAGTCATGGAGCAGTAACAAACAACCCCTAGTCTTGATAGATTAGCAAATAACAAGGATGTGTTGCTAATTAATGCTTTGTGCTTATTACTAGCTGCCTCAGGACCATGCTCTGTGTTTTCCTTATGCTAGGACCCAGGAAGATGGAGCAGCTGTGATCTGAAACCTTGACAGTCACTATGTCAGAGGAAAAGAAAGTACCAGAACATCTCATATGTGCAAATATTCTCTTCCTTAATTAATTGGCCTGAACTAGTCAAAAAAATCCCACCTAATCCCAGACAGCCAGGAAGTCCAATCCTACATACTTCCAACAGGGAGAGCTGGAAATATCTGAACACAGCAAATAACTATCATACCTTAAACCAGCAGAAATATTTGTTAAATAAATTAATGACATGCTCTAGGCACAGTGCCTGGCTTTTGCCAAACACTCAATGAATGGCAAATATTTTATGATTAGACTTGATTTGTTTGGAGATAAGATTTTAAAACATTTAGGGGAAAAGGTGAGTGGGAGAGTGATGAAAATTCCATTGCCAGAGTCACTTATCAAAATCAACACCTTGCCATGAGTGGAATGTCCTACCCAGATATTCCGTCTGAATAGTCTCACTGACGTTCGCTGAACCGTTCAGAAGAGCTGCCAATGTGGTGCTTTCCACACTTGCCAGTAGGACTGTGCCCAGGGTGGACATCTCTTCCTTAGTGAATCTGGACTGTGTGAATGCCCGTGCAAGCACAGAGGAAAAGCTCTTAACCATATTCTGAAAGGAAAGATGTACTTGTTCTTTCTCTCTCTGTGTTAATGAAATAACAGCTGTCCTTTCCCTCTTCAGAAAGAGAAGGTTAGGACGAAGACCAAAGTGTAGTTGAAAGAACCATCCATCCAGGCTCCTCTTACTGATTCAAGATACTCCACTGGGAATACACGCTGGTGTCGCCTTTATGAAATGCAGTAAGTTGCCACCTATAACAGCAGAAATTACATATAACCCTGGACCCAGCAATTTCCCAGGAATTAATCTTTTCAGAAATACTTAAAATTTTTGCAAGGATCTTCTCCAGTGATTTTCATTTTTGAATGGTTTCTGGAAAGCCCAGATGCCCAATAGATTGGTTAAGTAAAAGAAGATGAAATAATCAAGGCATGGCATAGTATTCAATTGTTAAAAAGAACAATGCAGTGTACTTATATGTACTATTAAATTATGCAAATTACAAAGCAACATGTATGTATTACTACATTTGGTTTAGAGAGAACAATCACAATTTTTAAGTAATAACTATGGCTTTTATGTCCTGATATATAGAAATAAAAATAACACACACTTACTAAGAGCTAGGTATTGTTTTGGGTGTCTTATGCATATTAACTTGTTTAATTTGGAGAAGATAGCTATAAAATTGAGGCTATTATTATTATTTTCACTTTGGATGGGCAAACAAGAATCCATATCTGGTAGGTGGAAAAGCCATGATTTGAATCTTGCCAGCTTAGCACCAGAGGGTGGCTCCCTAATCATTGCCCTAAATCTCTTATAATAAGTGCTCAATAAATGACCCCGATTTCTGTGTGTGTGTATGTGTGTGTACATATACTGAGAAAGTAGACAAGTCTCAAAAGATACCCATCCAACTTTTAATATCCATTATGACTGAGAAACAGGATTAAGAAAGGCAACATTAATAATATGAATGTTGATTTTATTTACCTTATTGTTGATTGTCAATAAATTATATGTGTAACTTTGACCCACCCCCCAAAAAAAATATTGAAAAGAATTCAGAACCTAATAAATACAGGAAATAATTAAATCCAATGAGATGATGAAAGAAATTAAACTGAAATCTGAGTGCAGATGCTAATTTCTATCTATCCAAATTAGATGGTAAAAAGTTAAAAACAAAGGATTTCACTAAAAACAGGGAATGAGTGAAATTTGAGAGATGTTTGTCCAGGAGAACCTGGATGCCCTGACTTCTGTAAACATTCCCCTGAAAGGCATGAATTTGGAATCGATGCCCATCACAGCATTGACCTAGCAGAAAAAAATCTTAGTTAGAAACTTTCTAGAAAAATGTGGTCCTTAATTCTATAGCTGACAAAATCTCATCAAACCCACCATCTGAAATTTTGACTCTATTCTTATCTAGTTGGGAAGGTTATTTCATATCTTCAGAGGAATAAAAAAATAAACAAATTAAATATCCTTAGCAGTAATGCTTTTGTATTTAAATTTAAAAGGTTTTGAAATCTTTAGCATAACCTGGAAACATCTGCCATTTAAAGGGTTTAGAACAATTGAGCACATTAGAAAAATCTCACCAATTAACCATATGATTTTACTGCTAAAAGTAATTAGATTTGTGCTTTTAAAATGAATGATTTAAGAGAACATGGTTGTTTATAAACTGCACTGAATGTTTAAAAGAATCCAGATTATTATTTACATATGAGTAGCTTGGAACAATTGGATTTATGAGTTGCTCAAGGGCTCAAAGGGCTTGAGTGACCTTGACTGTTAGGTATTAAAACTTTGCAGCAAAATTTGAGCATTTGTAAACATAGTAAAAACATTTGAAGAAATTTAATTAAATGTTTAAAGAAGGCCAAAATTTCATGAAAATGTAATCTGAAACTCGATGAATGAATATACATTTAACAAACATATGTTATATTAATTTTAAATTAGTAAAGTTATAAAGTAAACATGTTATTCTTATTTTAATACAAAAATAACCAGATATATAAGTAAAATAACAACATCCATTAGTCTAACTTAAAGGCTTAAGATAAATTGTATTTTAATATCTACAACCACAATGACCTAGTCCTGTAACCCTGGAGACATAAATACTTATGGTCTCACACACAAGCACTGCACACGGAAGCTCCCAGCAACTCTGTCCGTAACCACCAAGCTGGAATCAACTCAAACATTCTTCAGAGAGGAACATATAAGAAAAATAAAATGAGATATTACTTAGCAAAGACAAAGGAATGAAACACTGATTCATGAATTCATGCTACAACGAGGCTGAATCCTGAGGACATGATGCTGAGTGAAATTAGCCAGGCACAAAAAGCACAACCTGTGTGGCTGCTCAGAGGAGGTCCCAGAGTTGTCAGGTCCACAGAGACAGGAAGTAGAGGCTGGGTGCCTGGGGCTGGGAGAGGGCAGGTGGTATCTCAGAGAGATAGAGTTTTACTCTGGGATGGTGAAAAAGTCCTGGAGAAGGAGAGTGGTGAATGTTGCATAGCAATGTGGGCATACCACATGTCATCAACAGTTAAAAATGGAGGAGGAAGGGAACTATTAACAAACGCAGCATCCATGAGTCCCGTGCACTGTGCTGAGTGAGAGAAGCCAGTCTCAAAATGCCGGACACTGTATGAAAAGTCAAAACTGCAGTGACAGATATTCAAGAGGTTAGGGGTGCAGTATCTGAATATAAGGAGAAAGCCCAAGGGAATTTTTGGAAGAAATGAAACTATGTAACTGTTCTATATTGGGATAGTGGTGATAGCTCCACAAATCTATTCAGGGGACAAAACTCATAAAACTGTACACCAAAAAAGGTAATTTTGCTTCCAGTCAGTTTTTAAAACCTCACAACTATAAGTTACATGTTAACTCACAACTCATTCATTATAAAGGACTTCCTGCACCCAAAACATACACAAGATGTTTGAAACTCAAAACACAATTACGAAGACTTTGTCATTACCTTAAGAGGAACCACAGTGCTTTCTTTTCCAAATGCGTTTTCCAGAATGCTGAAGGTGTCATGTATCACTGCACAAAAGGAATCCTGCACCCCAGAAAAAGAGTGTTTGTGAGCACTGATCAATCTATGCCTCCAAGCATGTAATCTACAAACTGAGCCATTAAGCCCACCATAGTCCTAAATTCCCAAGGAGCTAGAGTTCCCAGGGAAATAAAATTATCATTCGATAAAATTTAGAATCATATCACCTTTCTCTTCCATGAATAAAAGGAGCAAACATGAAAAAACAGCAAAACTAGTCAGACAAAAAGATGGGGAAAAGTGTAAGCAGTGATTTGAATGGAACATTACTCAGTCCCGAGAAGAAAGGAGTTTTGACACCCATTGTAGTGTGAGTGGACCTTGCGAATGCCCTGCTCAGTGAAAGGAGGCAGACACACATGAACAGATACTGTACGATCCCATTTATATGGAATTTCCAATAGATGAATCCATAAAGACAGAAAGCTGGTTAGTGTTTGGGAAGGGAAGAATGGGGAGTGTGTGCTTAGTGGGGATGGGGTTTCTTTTGGGGTGATGAAAATATTCTGGTGATAGTTGCACGATGTTGTGAATGGACTTGATGCCACTGAATTGTTCACTTTAAAATGGTTAAAATGGTGAATTTTATGTTGCAATTCAAAAAGGAAAACAACGGTCCAAGTTGTGTTATTTCAAGGCTAATTTACAAGCTCATATTTAGAATAGTGGCATCAATTTCTGAAGTGACTATAGTGTCTTTACTCAATAAAATGGCTTCATTAGATAGTCTGGAATCCAAATTCCTCTTTGCCTGGCTGGCTATGTATTACCGGTCCCATATCACTCAGATGTAACAACAACGCTTTCACTGGTGGGGAGACTCCAATATATTATCCACTTCTTCTTCCTCAAGTTTATGATAGACAAATATCCTTTCTTTGCAGCTTCTTTTATAGCTACATGTGACCATATGACTGATTGTTGGCCAATCAGGTGCAAAGAGAAGTGATGCTGGGTCATGTACTTAAAGGAAAGGATTGTGCCTTTCACTTCCCCTTTTCCCTTTCCAGTATCTGGAATGCAGATGTGATGGCAGGAGCTGGAGCAGTTTTCTTGGACCACAGTGTGGGAGTCTTATGTTGGTGGCAGGACGTTATAAAGTCATCTTACACTCAGACTATTAGAGAAGAGAGAAATATACTTCTGTCTAGAAGAGTGTTAGACCACTCTTGTTTTGCCTTACTTAAAAGTACAAAAACAACATCCTACCTAAGTGGCTTTTAGGAAAGCCTCAAGAACTAGGAACCTTCAAACATACTTACATATTCAGTTTTTATGTCTGCTCCAGTGTTGCACTGCTGGACCTGTTCATTATTGACTATCACATCTTCCTTATACCTTAAGGGAGATCCTTTGAAGAAATAAAAACCAATCAGACCAAATTCAACAACAGCAAGACAGCATTAAAAAGCAAGTCAGGTTTCATTCTCCCCTCCAAGGTTTAAAAACTATCTGTTGCCATAATACACATGGTAAAATGAACTAACACCACAGTGTTAAAATGAATGCACACCACAGCATGAAGGACTCCACAGAGTGTGGTCCTGAGTGAGAACAGAGGCAAAGAAGATGCGCGGTTTGACATCACTGTTGCTCCAAAACAAGCAAGACCAAGCAGACATTGTTTAGGGATATACACACAGGAGAATATTTATTTATGTAGGGGAATAATAAATGCCAAATTCCAAGTGGGTCCCTCTGAGGAGGCGACAAAGTGAGGAAGGAACATGCAGAAGATACATGGCACGGATGATATTCTCTTTCTTTTGTTGTGAAGGGCCTCAGATACATTCATTTGATTGTTACAACTCACTGTTTCCATATAAATTACATATATTTTAATGTATCCCTTAATTCATATTTCTTTTAATTTTAAAACTTTTGTGGCTCCCATTGTTCTTGGAAAAATAAAAGACTCTAAAATTCTTGACAAGATACACAAGGCCCTGCAGGATCTGACCTCTATCCACCTCTTCAGATATGCACAATGCCACGTCATCTTGTACTTACTCTGTGTGAGCCTCAGGGCCTTTACATGTGCTACAGTGGGGAAACTCTGATGTCATTCTCTTGGAGCATATCAATATCCTGGCAGTTACTCCAACACACACTATGAATTTTCAATTGTTGCACTCATCGTGGTTATTATTACATAACTATGTGGGCACTTCCTGCTTCCTTCCCTATACTAGAAACAACAGGAGGACAAGAATCACATAGGGCCATGTTCCTTCTAAGGAAGGCCCTCAGAAAGCATCTTGCCTGGAGTCTTCTATCTTCTGGTGGTTGCTAACAATCCTTGTTTTTCCTTAGGTTGTGGCAGCAAAACTCCAACCTTTGTCTTCACATGGCCCTCTTCCCTCTGTGTATGTGTGTGTGTCTATTTCCTATTTTCCCTCTTTTTATAATAATACCACTCTAATCTAGTATGATCTCATCTTGACTTGATTATGTCTGCAAAGACCCTAGTTCCAGAGAAGATCACATTCACAGGTTCAACCCAGAAAGCTGGATTCTGAAATGGCTTCCAGTTATTCCTGCCTCAGTCATGCTTAAGTTATGAAGTATCTTTCTATGAGTAGAATATGAATGTTTTGACATAATAACTAAGAAAGTTACATGAAGGCTATGTTAACCAGTTTGATGGAAATGTCATGGATTGTGTGTGAAAACACCACACTGTACCCCCAAAGTGCATCAATGTACACAGTTACCATTCAATAAGAAAAAAAAAAAGTTATGAAGTATCCATCAAAATCTGGAAGAACATGGTTTCAGGAGCTTCTAGATAGCTGAAAACTTGGAAATTCCTGGGATGTGACACACCCAAAGAAAGTTTGAGAACTCTATGTCCTCTTCTCCCATGTTTTGTTCTATGCATCTCTTCCATCCAGCTGGTCATGTGTATCATTTATATTAAATGGCTAAGTGCAAATAAAGTTCTTCCCTGAGTTCAGTGAGTAAATTTAAAAAAACCCAAGGAGGGAGGTTACAGGATTCTGATTTACAGCTGGAAATGGTCAGAAGTACAGGTTACAACTTTGAATAAATGGAAAAAATAGTTCTTCATTTCATATGAAACCAGAAAAATCCCATATAGCCAAGGCAATTCTTAAAAAAAAAAAAAAAACAAGACATCACTGTATGAGACATTAGACTATACTACAAGTTCACAGGAATTAAAACAGCATGGTATTAGCACAAAAATAAACATAGACATTTGGAACCCAATAGAAAACCAAGAGATGAAGCCAGTTTCTCATAGCCATCAGAGCTTTGATAAATCAAACAAAAGTACATACAGGGGAAAAGAAGCCCTCTTCAATAAATGGCCCTGAGAGAACTGGATAACCACAAGTAAATGACTGAAACTGGATCCACACCTATCACTGCTTCCAAAAATTGATTCAGGATATGCCAGGTCCCACCCTGGGGACAGGATCCTTTAAGACCTGTGGAACTAGCTGCAATTGACTGAAGAAAAGTAAAATTAAAAGGGGCAAAAGGTAAAGATGACACTCAGAATAGAGCTTTCAAAGGTGGGAAACACAGTTTGTGGGGTTCAATGAAATGTTTCTGAGTGTTTGTTCCACTCAGAGTTTATTGAAGGCTATTTGCTCATTAGCCCAGAGGGTAAGCTGAGGAAGGGAACAAAAACATTAGCATTTTCTCTAAGTATGTCAGCTCTTATTCTATCTATAATCATTAACTTTACGGGTCTGAAAAGCCTTGAGAAATCGGAAACCTGAGCCTTGTGTGAGGGCAGCCTCCTCTCTGTGGTAAATCCCCTTTAATTCTCTGTGGAACAGATGCAATGGCATCAGGTCCCTCTGAAGAATTGGTGGGAAAAAGGAATTTTTCTCCAGTCTCCACCCAGAGGCATCTTCATCTGTTATTAGAGTACACAAGCCCTCCTGCCCATATTTCAGGGCTTGAGCTGTTCCCTTGATCTCTGCCCTAGCCAAATACAAATCTCCATAATGGGTATTAGCTTTGGCTGTTGACTGGTAGGGGGTGGCCTGGTTAATCTCTCTACTCAGGCTTTGCAGGAAGCTTCCTCTGTGGCCATTGTTTCTTCAGAGTGTTCACAGACCCCCAGCAGGGATGTTTACACGCTGTATTCTCTACAGGTCAGGCTTCTAGGAAAAGCAAGATGCCACTCAGATAAGAAATTTAGTGGCTAGTTTAGCTGACCTATTTTTATTCCACCTTGCTCAGCTTATTTCTCTGTTTTTCCCTTTTTCTGAGAGTGTTTTTCCTTGCCAAGAATGGAGTCTTCAGTCCCCATTCTCCCTGAAAAGATGGATAAAAGATTTAAATCTAAGTGATTAATATCTAAATCTAAATGATAAAAATACTAAAAGAAAGTGAGGGAAAAACTCTTGAGGATGTCAGTTAGGGAAAGTTTTTATGAAGAAGGCTTCTGTGGCAATTGCAAGAACAACAAAAACAAACAAACAGAACTTAATCAAACTGAAAAGCTTCTGCACAGTAAAGGGCACAACAACAACAAAAAAAAACAAATAGGCAATCTTAAGAATGGAAGAAAATATTTAAATATTACAAATCTGGCAAGGGTTTGATAACTAGGATCTATAGAAAACTCAAGTTAATCAATAAAAGACGAGCAGACAATCCCATCTACCATAGGGCAAGAGATATGAACAGAATCTTCTCTGAGGAAGACAGATAAATGCCTACAAAACATATTAAAAATTGCTCCTTGTCCCTAATAATCAGAGAAATCCAATGCTAATCCCATAGAAATTATCCCACATCACAAAGTCCCAAAATTACAGATGCTGGCGCAGGTGTGGAGAGGGGGAACACTTTTACACTGTTGGTGGGACTGAAAACGAATACAGCCTCTTTTTAAAGAAGTATGGAGAATCCTCAAAGAACTCAAAATACACCTCCTGTTCAACCCCACAATCACACTACTAGGTATCTACCCAGAAGAAAAAATCATTTTATCATGAGGACATCTGCACTAGATTGTTTATCGCAGCACAATTTACAATCACCAAGATATGGAAACAATGTAAATGCCCACAAACTCAGGAATGGATTAACAAACTGTGGTATATGTATACCATGGACTACTATTCAGCCACGAAAAAGATGGAGACTTTACATCTTTTACATTAGCCTGGACAGTGTTGAAACACATTCTACTTAGTAAAGTGTCACAAGAATGGAAAGGCAAATAAATATCCAATGCACTCAGTACTAATATGAAGCCAGTAGATGATCTAATTCACATGAACAGAGGAGAAAAGCTCATTTCAATGCAAGTTGGGGGAAGGGGGAACAAAGGAGGGGAAGAGAGGAGGGGGTTTGGGGTGCTCCCACTTAATGGATACAATGTAGCAGTGTATGGAACATCTTTTGGGTGCAGGACTTAACTAGAAGAGGACTGTACCTAACAAACTCAAATACTGTGATCTGGTTGTTTGTACCATCACCTTAACCTGAAATTAAAAAAAAAATAAGGCATACAAGGTACAGTCTGTGATATGGAACTGGTGTCTGAAGTTAAGGTGTTCTTCTGGGACTAAGCCCTCAAACTGTGGGATCTGACCTTCCCTCCAGGTAGATAATGTCAGAACTGAACTATAGGACCCCCAGCTGCTATGTGTCAGAGAACTTCATGTTCAGTGAGAAGGAAAAAATCCACACATATTTTCTTAATCATATGTGTCCTGACTATGTGAGAGTAGGGTAGAAAAACAATCCAAACCCTTCCTACTAGCCATGGTGGGATGGTGGATGTGCTCTTAAGTAACATTCTCCACACTAAGGAGAGTTGGAGTTAGGCAGAGTGCTGGTTTATTCTCTTGTCCCTTGAATTTATACTTTTAAAACTGGAGCCCTACTCAAGTAATGATAGCATTGTAGAATATAATTTGGGAGCCAATTGATTTTATAATTCACAGGCCCTATTTATGCTGGGACCCAGATCTTTTTATGGCAGTCATAGGAGTCTACTCAGCACCTCTTACCTGTATAAAGCACAAAACTTCCACCCTTTCCTGAAGAAGCAGAACTCAGTTTCTGGACAGTCAATTTGTTTTTCTGGACCAGTTGAGTGTCCTTTCTTGTGAAGTCATTACTGATTTCATCCTTCCTCAGATTTTCCTTTCAGAGAAATAATTAGGTAGACTATCACAGAAACCAGAAACCAGGGATAAACACAAATGTGGTAGAGTGAGCCCAAAGGACAATATTTACTCAGGGGCTACTAGGTGGGGTACAGACACTGCCCCAAGTCTTCAAGTGGCAGCCAAGACATTTCCACTCTTTCCCAGAGTTTTATATTTCTACTGACGTCTGAGACCAGTCAATTCTTGGCTGTGGGAAGCTGTCCTGGGCATTGTAGCATGTTGAGCTGTGTCCCAGGTCTCTATGTACTAGATATGAGCAGCGCACTTTCCTCTTACAACTAGAGTTGTGATGACCAAAAGTGTCCCCAATTATTGACAGATGACCCTTGGCATAGAGCACAATGTCACCCCAGATGAGAACTACTTTACCCTAAAACCACAGAGAACAGAGAACCCTGTGAGCATTACAGCAGGAGAATGATGTGGTAAGATAAACCTGCTGTTTCCCAAACCAAGGCCTCACCTCACTTACCTGAATCATCACTTGTGTCTGTGTCTCTTCAATGCTCTTCACTGTGGGGGGTGGGGGAGGAGTAGTCATTAAATGAGGTCTAGGAGAAAATCCACCCTGGTCACACCACTTCTTCCAATCACCTTCAACTTGGGTCTTTCCTAGATGC